CCCCCCCCACGTTCGTTCTTTCTTTCTCGGTTCAGATTCTGCAAGACATATTTCACTTTCGGCTGACCTTACAGTGTCATTTGCCGACTTGCTCCCTGGCCTGAGACTGTACATAATCTGCTGGTTTTGTTATTGCAAAGATTGAATCAGCCCCTCGCCAATTACTGTGTGGCTGCAAGTGGATTTAAGTGCAGTATCATTGTTCTGCTTGACAGAGGTCATCCCTTTAAGACACAGCAGCTTCTGTTTTCCTGCCTTTTTACCAGAGGTGATGCGGGTGACTTCTTATGCAAGCAGAGCTGTGTACACGGTATGCTAGGAAGCTCCAAGTGGTTTTTTAAGGCTGCTTCTACAAATGACCCTCAGATGTATATTGCGGGCTCCTAGCTTACTGCAAGGCTCAGGGAAACCCATGCATTGATCAAGGTCCTGTTGATGGCTTAGAATACAGAGGTCTTGTCTCCTGGCTCTGTGTTGACCCAAGAAAAAAGTCTTTGCAAAACCAGATCAAATGTGAAGATGCCACTTATTATAGAAGGCTGTATAGAGAATTCTGTAGGACACTATTTTGGGGGGGGGGCGAGATTTGAGGGTCATTTAACCCAAAGAATCAAGCTTGTTTATTGTGTCCATGCCTACTTTCAGCAAAGGGGGGAAGGGAGCTTTAAAGGGTCTTCAGCTTATTGCTCTCATGGAAATGCTGGGAGCTACTGTGCAGACTGACATATTACTATCTTGGCAGAATGCCCCCCCCCCGTTTTTTGCAAATGCTATTAAAGATAGCCCAGTCTTACTGCTGTATCTGAACTGTCAAGTTATATAACTAAGGCTCCAAATTAAACATTCAAAAGCAGCTGCCAGCCAGGCTCATGGCTCGATTTTGCACTTGAAGGTGATGGTTTAAATACCAATCCAAGCCCATAAATGCCTGTTATAGCTACTAATAAAAGTTTGGTTTCTACCCATTTGGGAAAACGTTAGAACTGGCTTTATTTTTTCATGCTCTGTCCACCATCTTGCAGTGTGGTCTCCTCTGCAAAGGGTATGGCTACCTATTGAAGCTGCCATGAATATGTTCAATTTCCTTTTTTTTTAATTCTGCGTCCATTCAGTTTTTCAGCAGTGGAGCAGGATCGTAGACTAAATAAAGGTGCTGAGCAATAATCACTTTTTATTTTTTAAAAATGCACGTGAGCAGGAAGTATGTAATAAATAATCATACCTCCAGGGGCAGGGGCCCGGGAGCCTGCAGCCCGGCGGCAGCATCGGTCTTACATAATAAGGCAGAGTGTCCACATTCGCCTCTGCAGAGCGTGCTTGTTACGCTCGGGGAGATGTTTGAGGCCTCCTGGGTCTCTGCCGCCTGCAGCCTGGGTGTTACAGTTGACTCAAGCATTGCAGATGCTTAATTGAACGGACCTCCGAGGTCAGTGCTCGGGGGTCATCCTTTGACAGTATCAGGGTGTGATTTGTGGTCTCTGGAGAGGCTGAAGGACTCATTCTTAAAATCTAGGGCTTTCCTGAGATGGCTCATTACTGTTCATTCACAAAGTTCCTTTGCTTCCTCGCCTAGGGTGTCTCACGGGCGCTCCCGAGGTTCTTGCTCACCCTGTCTGATTCACAGGTTTTATTTTTTGAAGCGACTTAGCTCATGGATTCTTAGATGGCAGCCTGTATCCCTGGATAGGTTTCAGAAGGCCTGTGTTTCCCCTTAAAACAATTCCAGGATCATCATGCCAGCGTTTGAGAATGGGCATTGTCAGCTGAGAGCTTTTGTCAGATTCCCCTGTGGGATCCAGACCCCAGAAAGGTCAACGGGGCTCTAAATGAGCATCTTTGGTGTCTGAAGACGAGGGACTCCCCCTGACCCTAAGTGCTTTTTATCCAGCTCATCCAGATTAGCGGTGGCCCAGCCGGGATTAGAGCCTCAAATTTGGCGATTTGTAGGCCAGCATTTTCCCCACCACCCTGAAAAATGCTGGTCAAGGAGACTATGCTTTAACTAACGAAGAAGAAATTTAGGAAGTTAAGTGATGCCGAGCGGATAGCATTACGTGTCTTGTTGTTAGAGCTTCCTCTGGCCTTCGCTGCTCTCCGGCTCAGTGCCCCCACCCACGCCTGCCCCACTCCTGCAGGCACAGGACCGAGTCAGGAGTCACGAGCCCACAGGCACAGGCAGATAGTAAAGCCACATTCCTAGCCCGGGGGTTTGCAGCCCTGATTTATGGAGGTCTGCAAATGAATGAAAGCTTTTTTTTTTTTTTTTAACCCTCAAAAATTCTCTGCAGGCTAATACCACTTACATCTGTTTCAAAAAGGTGTGGAGGGTGGATTTTCTTTTGAAATAGCCCCACAATGAGGTGGCTTTGCACAGGCTCATTTTGATTCATAGGAAATCATTGCATAACAGATTCATTGAGCTGGACTCTGGAAGGAATAGAGAAAGAAGCATGTCCGCCTTGCTAGTAAAAGGACTGCGTCTGATTCCCAGCTCTGCCACCAGGGGCTTGATGGGATTTGTTCTCTGAGGCTCGATTTCCACATCTGTGAAATGAAGGTGTTGGATGAGATCACCGTTAGGGAAAGCCTAGGCATTTAATCTATTATTGCTAATCCGTTGTATAGTTGTGCAGTGCTATATGACACAATTGTACAGCACAAAGTGTGTCTATGGTTGTTTTACAGGTAGTTGCATAGTGTTCATGCACATTTTCCATTTTGGGAAGGAACATAAGGTGTTGTCTGTGTAGCTTGGGATGGGCCACTCTCAGAACTTGCCTTAATTTTTCTATAAACAGAGGCCATTGGGATAGAGAGAAAAATAATAAAACGTGCCTTTTATGGTAAGTTTTATTATTGCATCTTGCAGAAACTTACCTTCACTTTCTCATATCCTCCCAACGTTGTGTGCCCATTTTACACATGAGGATTTGGAGGCCCAGAGAGGTCAAGTGACTCCTTCAAGGCCACACAGCTGGTGGGACACAGGCCCAGTGTGGTCTGGGTTCCAGGTCAGCACGCCATTGGTCATCTCCAGCCGGTCCCTGTGGGAGGTGTGGGCACACTGTGACTTGGTTATCTGAGAGGCCCCTCTGACTCTTGGTCTTGTTGTTACTCCCGCCCTAGGTGTTTGATATCAGCTGCTACCAGGAGTCCCTGGCCCCATGCTTTTGCCTGTCTGCCCACAGCAACATCAACCAAATCACTGAGATCATCCTGGGGGAGACCAAAGCCTATGTGTTCTTTGAGCGGAGCTATGGGGACATGCATTCCTTTGTCCGCACGTGCAAGAAGCTGAGGGAGGAGGAGGCGGCCCGGCTCTTCTACCAGATCGCCTCGGCCGTGGCCCACTGCCACGACGGGGGGCTGGTGCTGCGCGACCTCAAGCTGCGGAAGTTCATCTTTAAGGACGAGGAGAGGTGAGTCTCATTTCCTTCCAGACCCCTGCGCTGCCACAGGCTGCCCCGAGCAGCTTGCCGGAGGGTGAGAGTGGAGACTGTCCGGCTGCCTGCTGTCTAGGTCCAGAGAAGACAGCCTGGAAGGACAGACAAAGGGGGGATTATCACAAGGGTTGACGTGCCCTTGGAACACAAGTCACCGCTACTCTAAAGGTGTTAGATGCTCAGAGGACTGGGGCAGGATATCCTGTGACCTGTCATTATTTTGGTTTAGGTGTTGTGAACTCTGAAGTTGGCTGCAAGCCTGGGTGGCCTTTTCAATGTGAATGAGGCAAGATTTCCGAAATCCTACCTTCAGAACACTCAGTGCCTGGCATCGGTCATTTAACACTCATTCATTCATTCATTCATTCATGCACTCACTCATTCGGTAGATACTTCCCAAATATATATTATTAGTCACAGTCCCCAGTGCTGTGGATAGCAGGATGCACTAACTGGTCAACTGACCTATGCAGACGGTGTCCCAGGCCCTGAGTAAAGGTGCGTGGCGGGCCAGGTGGGCGCTGGGGGCTGGAGAGGCCGTACTAACAGCATTCAGAGTCAGGAACGTTTTTATAAGAGAGATGATTTTGGAGCTAACCCTTGAAAGGTAAACATGTCACAGGCGATGCGGGAAGGACCGGCGTTCCAGGTGAGGAGGCTGCCCATGGAAATCCACAGCCAAGTGTAGGTCCTGGTGATTTTAGGAGACAGCTGGACAGGATGCTGGGCATCTGGGTTCCATTTATGGTTCTTCCATTAGCTCATTACATTCTATTTAGCACACCCCACGGGGGCCCTGCTTTCTCCTCCAGATGACTTTGATTGTAAAAGCTCTTTCAAGTTACTTTTTTTCTTTTTAATAATGTGCTTTTTTAGAAGGGTGGAGGCAACTGATCTATATTCACCGCCGACTATTCCAAGAATTGTCCTAGAGGGTCTGCCTGCGCCATGTCATGGGATTCTCACGGCTGCCTGTTGGGAAAGCAGTTAGTGTAGGGCAAGTCCATCGTCCCAAAGCTCGCCCGGACCGTCTGAGTACAGGGCCGGCCCGCGTCACTCATTCACTCGCTCAGCTCACATTTCTGGAATTCCTTCTGTGTGTGTGCACAGGTCCTGCTCTCAGACCTCTCTGCCATTCAGTCTGTTCCCTGTCTACCCCAGAGGCCTGTGATATTTTTAGGCTCTTGCTTGTAGGAGTCTGATGGCATCCCATGTGAATGGGAAACCAGAACAATTCACTGGCGCAAACACATCAAAGCTAAATCCTTTGTAATTTTAAGGAGCATTTGCCTCTGGAAAAGGAAAACTTTAGTGACTGGTAGGAAGCTGATGGTCATCTGTCCCCTGCATGTCTGAGAGCACCTGGGCCCCAGCAGCCCTGCTTTCCCAAAGGTGGGACCACCCAAGAGGAGGAGAACTCCCCCCTCCCCATCTGATTGGTGGTGATGGCCACACAGGAGTTAAGTGACCTTGCTCAAGGTCACACAGCCAGTTTGAGGATGGAGCTAGCCTGCAAATCCTGTCATTTCACGGCAGACCCCACGCCATGCTACGGTCCCCGGGGATTTGTAGAATAGGACATGGCAAGTGTCTCTCTCTGGACAGGTCTGAGAAGGTCGTGTCCATTTTCAAGGAAGCACTAAATGTTCTCATCAGTACCTGCTAAGGTTTTTTTTTTTAACCCACTGTCAGGTTTTTGTGAAAGGGGAACACTGCCTAGTATAACCTTTTTTCTTCTTATTGTTGTTTCGGTTTTTAATCTTTTGATTTCAGAGTGTGAGACCCTGGTTTGTCACTCAGCATGCTTGTCCCTTTGTGATTCCCAGCAGACAGTGTCACAGCAGAGTCTTTGTGGCCTGCACAGTGGCCTGAAGGAAACAGGAGTCCAGCAGGGGCCCTGGGACCGCCTTGGGGCCCTCACCTAGCCTAGTAACTGGGACCTGATCAGTAGGCATTTCAAGAAGACTAAAGCTTCCTCCTTTCCTGGTAGAAGATGTGGGGGAAGCAGTGGGTTGAATTTGAGAGACTTTTGAAAGTGAAAGGATGGCATCCGCCTGTTTTCTGACCCTTTATGCACTGCTGGTCCTCGGGGGGCGAAGAGCACAGAAGAGACTTGGAAGGGCTGTTTGATCATTAATCTTCAAATCACCAAACACCTTCTGCACACCAATCTTCTCAAAGTTAAGCTTCTTGTTCCTTGATGACCTTGAAAGTGACCGAAGGCAAAAGCGTTACCTAGTGAGACTGGCTGAGCGCCACCTGGGTCAGGAGACCTGCCTGTGGGGGCGCTCCTCTCATAGGCGTTCTGTAACTTTGAGTCCATGGTCGGCCATGAAAAAATTCTGAGTGGCACTGTCAGCCCCTGAGTCCCGTTTCCCACAAGTTGCTTTGCAGACATTGTCCACAGATGACACCCAGTGTTGCGTGAGACCCGATGCCCGCGTGCCTTCTGCCTCTGGCTTGAATTAGCAGCATCTCAGGTTCTCCTGCTCCTGTTTCTCCTGTTTTATTTTGATTTGGATTCTAGGTTCACATTCTGGCTTTACCACTTACGAGCTACCTGGTCTTGGATAAGTGACTTAATGCTCCTAAGCTGCAGTTTCCTCCCAGCTCGGATAATAATGGCCTCCCTGCGGGGTGGCCAGGAAAGTTAAGTGAGGTGATGCTGTGACTCGGGGCGGGGCAGGCACTCGCCGATGGATGGACAGCGGGTCCTAGAGTCATTGATAAAACCCGGCCATTCGGGCTGAGCGGTTCCCAGGGTGGCGCGGGCTCCGGGAGCATGTGGCCCATCCCTCCTGCAGCCATTTCCGTGAAGAGCGGAGCCCTTGTGATGTGATGCCGGGTTCAGATTGAAGCCACATCCTCCTCTGTCTTTTGTTTAATTGTTATCGCTGAATCGGTCCTGGGAGGGCGCCCGACACAGGCCACGGGCATGTGCTGTCTCGCCTTCGGCCGGGAGAGGCCAGAAGGGTGATGATAAGGTGTCCACAAGGGAAGGTGGACTCAGGGCTCACCAGGGGGTGCAGCGTGCCACCCTCGGCCTGGGCCAGCCGCTGTGTTTCCTGCCCCGCTGCTCCTGTTCTGCCCCCGCTGTTTCTGCAGAGCACGGCCCCCCTTCTCTTGTTTTCGTTTTGAGGAAGTTACCTCTACCCTGATTGAATTCGCCCTGGGCACACCCTTTGCATGCACAGTTCCTGTAGTAAAATCTCAGTAGGAGGGGCCCCCCTGTGTGAGGCTGGGCCCTGAGTCTGATCCAGGACAGTGCCCAAATCCCCAAAGGGTGTGCCCGTGTCCCCCAGCCTCCCTCGCCCTGCTGTGGCATTAGGGGATCTGCGTGGCCAGCTGCTCTTCGGGGCCCGTGTAACAGTCTGAGCCTCTAAGGGGAGGCCTGCGCTTGGGAGAAGGCTGGTTGCTCCCGTGTGGAGGCAGAGTCCCTGTCTGGATACCGCTCTCTGCTCCGGCACTAACCTTGCCCAGTTACCCGGCCTCTTCTTTCTGCTCAGAGTGTCTTGTCTGTGAAGTGGGGATAAGGAGACCCCCCTGGGATTCAGCAGATGAGTGCAGCCGCCCCGTGCTCGGTGCCTAACCAGCACCTGCTGTCCTGGGCCTGCCCCGCTCCGGTTGTCTGTCCCTCTAGCTGACTCAGGATGGGAAGAGCCCTCTAGGCTGGTGCAACCCTGGGCCATAATCAGGTCTGCCCGAAGAAAGTCCCAGTTTTGCCAGCTTGATTTCTCTCTCGGGATGAGGCTCCTCGCCACCCCTCAGTGTCCCCCCTGCCCCAAGTCGAGGCTCAGTGTTGACATTTCATTGCACAGAAATGCCCCCTGTGACCTGAGAGCATGCCTCTGTGCATGTTCCTTCTTTGGCTCAAAGATCTTTATCAGTTGACGTCACGGGTTTCATTTCCTCTGCTGTGTGGAAGCTGATCTGTGCCCGTTTCTGCAGGAGGGAGCTGGGGGACCCCTTGCAGGAACACGGGCCACCTGTGCAGGCCCCGGCGCTGCGCCTCACCCTGGGGTTGCGGGGCAGGTTTTCCCTCCGTCACCAACCTGGGTCAGTGCTCTCTTTCTCAGCCGTTAGCATCTCTCCTGGCTCTTCCTTCAGATCTTCCCCCCCTGTTAATATCCAACAAGGCAGGGAGGGCGGCACTGGAGCCTGGAGGGGAGANTCTCTTTCTCAGCCGTTAGCATCTCTCCTGGCTCTTCCTTCAGATCTTCCCCCCCTGTTAATATCCAACAAGGCAGGGAGGGCGGCAGTGGAGCCTGGAGAGGAGGCTCTCCTTTCTTTCATTCACAGCGAGTTCTGTTATCCTAAGTTGCAGGCTCGCTGTATTTAGGAAAACGCCTTACCTTTTTCCTTGGAAGGAGGTGGAACTCCTGGAATTCCCTTCTCTATATTGGCCACGTTTATGTAGTTTAGGGACTGCCAACCCTTGGGGAAGGCCATTGTCCCCACCTTTCTTCCCAGGATGCTCAGGGACCCCTCCCCTGGCACCCGCTTTCTGTCACAGTGGGCCTCCCTCTGTTCTGCATGTCCCTGTCTGCACCTCGAGGCTTCCCTCGCCTCCTGCTGGACTAGGAGCTGTCTTGTGTTCGCGGCTCCTGGGACATGGTGGGCAGTGAATCCATGAAAATCTCCGTTACGGAGCAGGAGCAGCTCGGGTTGGAGTCTAGTGAGAAACTGCGAGAGGCAGGGAGGCGTACGGATCGTTGGGTCCATGTCCAGGGCACTGCCCAGANGCGGCTCCTGGGACATGGTGGGCAGTGAATCCATGAAAATCTCCGTTACGGAGCAGGAGCAGCTCGGGTTGGAGTCTAGTGAGAAACTGCGAGAGGCAGGGAGGCGTACGGATCATTGGGTCCGTGTCCAGGGTGGGAGCCCAAGCGATGGACACCTGTGAACCTGCCCTGTAGACACCTTTCGAAGAGGACCTCGGTCACAGTTCCACATGGAACGAGAAACTCGCCCAGCTT